TTGGACAGATTACCAAAGGCACTGGAGGGAGAGCGATTCTTCTACATGATTCTGATTGAATGGCGGTCTAGCTATAGATGATGGAGCAGAGAAAAATGATCTATGGCTACAGATGTTAGCGGAAGGACTGGGGCCACCATTCGTTTATATTAATCAACACTGAAAGCACGGGTAAAATTTTACCCATTTGGACAAGATATAGGAAGTTATTTAATCTACAGTATCACAAGGGATAAATTAACATTCATGATGACATGTCTCGTCCAATCAAATTAATCCTAAATAATTACTGTGCGTCTATTCGTACCTTCCGCAATCATGTATTATACTTTTCGTAAGGCATGAAAGGAACTTCGCATTACAAGCATTGAATTGTAAAACATTGCTTAATGCAATCAATAATGATGACGATTTAGATATTTATGACTGTGCTAAATCAATTTTAGGTAATTGACTGTCGCCAACAGACGAATTCTAAGTGTGACACTTTCTGTGATTCCTGTGGTAGTTGTGGTTTATCGAAACCTATGAATATAGTCTGCCAAACCGACAGACGGTTGAGGTGGAAACTTGTGAATACTGTTCTGCGTAAATAAGAACGAACAAGAAATACTATGGCGAATCTACCTGAGAATCATCACTGCGTCATACGAAGAGGTACCGAAAAAATTTGGGGCGTTAAGTATCATTACGATTGGGAAGCTTGAAAAATAATTTTCAGGGAATACGGTTTAACATTGTCTTAACGGTAACATTTGTCTTGGTGAGAAGTTCACGGATATATTATTGAAATGTCCACAGAATCAATGAAATCGTGTTACGACATGATATGACAATGAGCCAGCTTATTATTGCTGTATTCACATAAGAGTGATAAGTCGATGAGACAATGGATTTTAAATTCAGATACAGAGCTGAGTATTTAGGAGTGAATTTTAATTCAGAAGAGGTAGATATTGCATTTTGATGTCCATATTTATGCTTTCAGTGGTTCTGTTCATTTGATAAACCTGTAATTTGATTTTAAATGTGCTAAATGAATTTCACCATTTGGCCTTTGGCGATCCACTGTTTGGCGTAGGCTTCTCCAAAAGTTTGCCATAAAATTATATTTTCTTCGATTCTTGTGTTTATTGATCAAATACTTTTTACAAAACTTTTTCAGCAGAGCCTGTCATTAATCTTGAGGTCTTCTGACAGATCGTTTACCGTATCCTGGAACCTAGTCTACTCTCTCCCTGCTGCATCAATGGACGCTGTATCTTGCATCATGTCCTGCCTATTGTCATTTCAATTTCTTCATTCTGATTTTGCAGACCCCTGCTTGTGTTTAATAAACTCTTCTATCTATTTCATTCTGCTGTTTGCAACATGTCCATTTCTATTCTGCAATACGTGGACTGCAGTTTGCGAATAAATTTCATCCATAGGGTTCACGTTTTGCATCCACTGCTTTGGTCTGTCACAGCTAACACTGATCTGAGACATTCTGTTCCTGAAATAGTGGCGCTTGTCCAGGTACGAATATTTCAATTTTTCAGAAGCACTTCATATGTTTTTACTCCCTCCTCTGTTGTTTTTTCACCATTGCTTCTCCGTTGTACAGAGTGTGTTTCGTACATAGGCCTTCCTTTGCGCAACTTTAAGCTTTGTCCATGTATTTTAACAAGCCGTGAAGTCAAGGTTTGTTGAATCTGGCACGAACCTTTTGTTCAAAACGTTTCATACCGGTCTTCGCTTCGGTTCCGTCTAGAAATAACTTTGCTATCGGAGTATTTCTTCAGACAATGGCCATTCTTTTGCATGATATTTCCGACTTACTGTACGGTATACAAGAGTGAGTGCTAATGAAAAGATGTGCACAGATGCCCCGGTAGCAATGTTGTCATGCTGCATCTGGACGAACAATTATGATCCTGCATTTAGTCAAGTAATATGTTTCTTGCATTTGAATTAATATGTCCTGTGCTGAAAGAGACTACGATTCTCCATGTATTACAGGAACGAGTTGCATCAGGTTATTCATATTCATCACTGTAGCGAACTCATGTACCGTCATCAAAATCTTTGAGAATTCACTGCGTCGCTTAAAATTAGCGATGAATAGTTTTAGGGTAATCAGCAGACATGAGTGACGCACTCCCAATATTATGAAATGCTCGATTTTCAAAATGTTTATAAATTACATTCCAGTAAGAAGCCGAACGTTTATGAAAAGTTTCCTCGAATGGATGTACAAGCATTCAAGATGAAGTTTCACGGAAAATATGAGATAAAAATTTTAAAAACTGAAAATTTCGAATCAACTCTTTAAATGCTTTGCTAGGCAAGGGAGCAAGATGCCGTCCTTGCAATTTTTCATGTCATAATAACTTACCTAAATATCAGTGTGACCGAAACCTGCAGGATAATAACACAGACCTGCTGAACGACATTCAAAGGAATTAATGTCAAGTTCATTGTTGCAATAGACAGTTGTATCTGTCGGTTGATTTGTGCAGTCGTGTTAGACTCATGATATCTGAAAATATCTCGTTATTCAAAGATTGGTACTCCCACGTACACCGCATGAATGGATAATTCTAGCCGCATTTCGGACACCGAACAGCCCTCACAGCTGAACAGTCTTCATTTCAAATTATAAGGGTTGCCTTATATCATACTTTTTACTCTGTTTTGCTACGTTTATATCTGTCTATAAAATGAAGGCTGAAAGGTTCTGTAACATTATCTTCGTTGGTAGGACCGATCAGAGCGTTTCACATTTGGTGTTATTGTGAGCAGTTATTACCATCGTTCAAACTGAAATCGTACAATGAAAATTGCCATAGCAAAAAAAACGACATCCGTATGCCGAAGATAAAATTCTGGGACCGCCAATATGAACCCATGCCATTCCGATGGCATGGTATGAAGTGCCCTTATATGGTTGTTCGATGCTATCGATAATTCGAAATTGAGGCACTTGGAATGTTACTACAGAGTTACATTGTCTACTAGTCAAAAGATTGAGCATGTTCACGCTTCATCAGTCGCATGCAGGCGTCTTATTGTCTAAACAGGTTCGTAACTCTGTTAATCGAAAGGAGCATATAACATATAACATGCTTTACTTAACTTACTCTTCAAAACTACTGTAATACATTCGCACTGTATAGCCTGACAGACTGTAGAAGTGTTATGTAGCGGTTAAATTGAATCTGCACGTTGTCTAGCAGGGAGTTGGTTTGTGGGTTGTTGACCAACTGTCGTATTTTCGATGAACGTTCTAAAGAGCATTGGCTCTGTGTTCAGCAAGGAGGCAATGCTGTCGCAAGTCCAGTTGAAGCGTTTGTCCGAACACAAGTACAATGCTCAGGACTATTCGTTGTGCGATGAGGTGGTGATGAACAAGTTTTGGGACTGGGTGGTGTCCTTGTATCCGTTGTGGCTTGCCCCGAACCTCATAACGGTCATTGGCATCGTGCTTAACATCGCTGCAATTTCTCTCCTTTGTTGCTACAGCCCGGACTCAAAGGAGAAGGTAAGCGCGGTATGATGGCCATGATTTGCTATCGATTGTTTGCTTGCAGTGGTGATAAACCATGGTCTTCTAGGCTCCGTGCTGGATGTTTTTGCTGTGTGCGGTAAGCCTGTTCGTTCACCAGACACTCGACGCGACTGATGGCAAACAAGCTCGCAGAACCGGTTGTTCCTCGCCCCTCGGTGAGCTGCTGGACCACGGATGCGATTCCGTTTCGCAGAGTCAGTCATCCTACTTTGTATTGTGGTTTTAAAAAGATTATTTTAACCTTTGTTTTGTTTTTTATTCAGCTTTCGTCTCTCTCCAGATCTGCATCTCGATGCAGCTAGGCGATTACCCGGGAATCGCGGTTACTGTCTGTTGGGCATGCGTCATTTTGTTCTACTGCGCCCACTGGCAGACATACGTTTCGGGAGTGCTGAAATTTGGAAGGTACAAAAGCTGTATATTTTTGACATTGCTTTGTTCGTAAGGTAGAAGCCTGTTAGGGCAGAATTTCTTAGCCGAGTTCGGTTTTCTCATTTCATGTTGATTGGTTGGTTGTGAAGACTGGTAAAGGTGAAAACTAACTTGACAAACCGAATCGTCACCCATTTGGAGGCTATTTATCTGATTTATGCACTTATGTACTTTTTCTCCGGATATACCGACTTTACATTCTGATGTAGCTGAAAAAACAACAGCGCATTTTTTTCCAGCCGTCTAACTGCTCTGTTGTCTAACACGCCAGAATCAACGTCTGAATCAATAACCGTGTTCGACGAGTACCGCATTTGTTGTAGAAATAAACCAGATACGGTGATCGAAGATTCATGATCCTTGATGCGGTTAAGTTCATGGGCAGCAGACTAGTCTAGATGTATGGTACAAGTTTTGTCGTTGAACGGCAACCTTCCAGCAGTTTTGGCTAAAGGTGCATTCAACCATCCCTGGTTTGTGGAAGCAACACATTTTATAGACATCAATTGCCTTGTTTATTCCTCAGTTTCTCAGTTTGTACGTTAGCTTCTTCTACGGATTCTGCAAATATGATCACACAGAAGGCAAACGACAAAGTCAGAAGTGCGACTGAAAGTTTCGTTTGAAGGCGATAACCGCTGCTAACAGTTGCCAAATGCATGAAAATTCCGTACTTATGACATTTATTCCGCGATGCATGCAAGAACCGTCGAAGGATGAAAGAAATCTGAGAGGACGCTCGCTCAAAGAAGTGCTGGATTGACAATTTAGCAAATGGGTAGGGAAGTTCATGATTTTGTTGTTGTTTTCTCATCGTCATTTGAGGTTCAGAGAAATTAAGCAGTAAAGTAACCCAGATTTATTAACGAAGACTACGACTATGATATCCCTCATATTAAACCAGAAAAAATGTTTGGTGTGAATACGTTTCACACTGCAGATATACAGATGTCAAATATCATGGAGCCTTGTCCTGCTTTAATAGGTCTCAACGCGACTAAAGGCTATACGCTGTGAAATCCGGTTTTGGATGAGTAAAATACGTGCTGACGTTGAAAGCGTCCTATCCTAGTACGCGTGCTGGTAAATATCTGGGCTAACAATTCACTTAACCTACCAGAACAGTTTTTGAAGCAGATGGTCTACTTATTGTCTCCCTCCTGAAAGTAAACATCACTCATGCCGCGAAGGTAGCACACCATACAACGAAGTGTAGCAAGGAATATTGCATGATGATTTCTACTGAAATACGCATAATCGAGGTTATGTTATTACAGCAAAAGCATTGGTCTGTCGGAGAGTAGACAAACATCTGAGTACGATTCGGCGCATATTCATTTGGCGCACCTGTGTTGTGCTTTCGCAATTAACCATGTTTATACTGTATCTCGATATGATTACCAATTCACGAACAGAATGGTTCACTGTATGTCTTCTGAACAGGGAAAATAAATTGGCTAATGAATATACTGCCCAGAGTCCCCCTGCCTAGCCTCGAGCTGGGTTCTCTTCCATGTACTCTGTTATGTTTGTTCTAGGTCGAAAAGAACGCAGTAGTGAAGCTTTATTATGAATCGTTGCATTTCCTTCAGGGTGACCGAGTTATTTACGTCTTTCAGGGTCTGGCATGACCACACTAGAGCACCGGGCTCTTCCCGTGGTTCGCAGGTTCGCGACTTTCTGCCCTCTCACCGAAGCACGGTGGAGTGAATTCCTTGTTTATTTATGCAGCAAACAGAACTTCAAGTGTGCCACGGATTTAAAAGCTGAACTATTGTTTTACGAAATCCCAAGGATCTCATTATACAGTAGTAGTTTAAACTTAGCGTGTGCTTTGAGAAGAAACGACTACGTACCCCAGTTTTTAGCCAACTCTTATCGAAGAGTTTCACCTTTCTTCCCTGCACAAATTCTAAAGAGGGATATGATTGACCTACCTTATTTCACCACTAAGAGGGTACAGTAAAAGATAATCTTGTGTCCTGTCTGTGCAAAGCTTGTCGTTTGAATTGGCTATGCCATACTGAAGGAATTTGCACTTACGCGGTTTGCTTGTGACCCAGTACTCCTAGTTTTCTAAGCCTTTCATATTCTTTTTTAACGTATGAGTGTATTAATAAGTGCACATCGTCTGAAACAATATGTTTTTTTGCATTTAGATTTGGAGTGACCGAAACGGAGTTTTGTATCATTGCACTTTCTCTGATCTCTGGCATTTTTGGTCCAGAGGTGTGGCGAACGAACGTAAGTAGGTCGCTTCTCCTCTAACTTCAGTATCTTGTATTTGATATTGAACCAATTACAATTATCGTTTCGCACTGGTGCCCCATATAAGGACCACTGAGTTGTCATAGACCAACGTTACACAGCGTGTCTGAACAGGTAGGTATATTGATCGGGCTAAAATACCTGCGGATATTTCTTGCTTCAAAGTTCATTGCGATGGAAAAGTATGAATTGCCCGTGTCAGATGTGCCCTTGACAGAGGCGTGCTTGCATCTGTCCAGAGTTAAGAGGACATTCGGAATGGGCTGACACCAGTTTTAAAATAATTCGAAGAACGTGGTGTTTCATAGTGTCCTTTTTAAAAGCTAAATGGTTTCAAGTATAGATCGAGGTCCAGTTTTGCTGTTGCAAATGGCGAAGTTTGGTGCGATAAATTGTTAGTGAAGTTGTCTCCAAGTACAGTCTGTGGCAGGAAAATCAGTGTTAAACCGTGGCTCAGAAAATGCGCAGAGCTGCCCCTGTTCCTTTAGCAGTTGACACAGGTTCATGAACCATCAGTGGCCCTGAAGTTCTTGACGAAGACATGCTCTAGTCGCATAAGGCACATCTACTTCATATTCTGCGAACGTACTGTAACTGACGAAGTCATCAAACAACTAGCCCTCAGTAAGAGAGTAAGTTGAATTACAGTCATAGTTGCATGCAGAAACCTTTGTCGACAAACAGAAAGAAATGTGGTCAGATGAATATCAGGAGGCGTCTTCCGGAGTAATTGCTCTGCTTGACATCGTTGATATGAGATTCCTAATGGATCATATTCTTCCTTCTCTAATAGAATCCAAGAACGGATCAAGCGTTTTCAGTAAACTTACAGCGGTATTTCTAGTGGTTCTTTAAAGCACGAATTTTTCCTTTCAAGGTTCTGTTTACCATCAGTGGTTCAGGATTTCCATGAAACTTTTGATCACCGTGGCGTTAGCAGATCTATGTCTGAATCTTCTTGGGACATCATTGCTGCAAAATCCTCGACTTTATTACAGCTGTTGGTCTATCTTAGGTTTGTGGAGTGCATGTTCGTGGGTTTAACGTTAATATTTTCCTTGTCCTTTCGCATGTGCTTAAGAATTTCATAACAATCACTGATAAATCCAGAAGGATCAAGTGTACCATCGTAAGAGAAGATAAAGGCCAAATCAGCTTTTTGGACATGGTTGGTAAGAACCATCATGCTAGAAGCGACAAACTGTTTGACTTTGTAGGTGATCGAAAATCAGCATTCTAATAGGTATTTACAGCCGGAATCTTGTTCTCCTAAATTATTTCTTAATACTGTAAAACACATGAAACTTAGGTCTCTTGGGGTTTGCAAAACTGAATGATGCCTAACAAGCAGGAAATGAACATCTGCAACATGTCTTGTGCTAAAGGCTACAGTGAAGAAATTATAGAACACCGTTTACTGAAACCGTTTCTGACGTTAGAAATAAGTCATATAATTAGAGCAGTCCCACTATAGTCATCCCATTTGTTCTTGAGCTCTCTAAAAAAGTCAAAAAATACCTTCAGGTTAAAGTTTTCGGATCTAGTATAAAATGGGCAGTTCGTTAGGATAGCTCATCTGTTGGACACTTCATCAATCAGGAGAATGAAAGAGATGGGCATGATACATAAGATCGAGTTCAGTGAATGGAAGAAGATATAGGAATCAAGAAAATCGTTCAAAGGGAAGAATCTTTGGGATCGACTGCTTCGGACTAAAGAGCTGCAAAACATGAGCTTTGAGGAATGGGAAAACAGAACATTCTAGGATCCTCTCTCACGGTTTTTTGGTCACTCAGATGAATGTCATTTCTGTTGATAAGGACAGTAGAAACACTGACCTTTTAACTAAAGAACCGTTATATCTGTCGGCTAGCAAAAGCCGAATGTGTTGCGAATGTACCTGCTCGTTGCTTAGTTTGAGTCACAGCTACAATGTCATCGGCAAGCAATTTAGAAAGAATGGAACAGAGGATTTTCAGAACGAAGGTCACAGAATTTTGTATCACTGCTTTCATAAGGTTATGCTGTTTCGTTTTTACTCATGAAGATGCCGTAGTGTAGCATCGAAAAGCATCAGTAAATGAAGGCTATTGCATCATCCATTTTAGTTGTTGCCACGGATCATGCATCTGGAAACGAAGTTCATTAACTGTTATTCAACCATGCAATGAATAGATAACTCCATCTGTAAATCTGTAACTACATTTTTTCTTTCCTAACATTACACAAAACGGTTGGCCCATGATAGCGGAGTTAGCAAAATGAAAGCTTAGCTTAACAATCCAGGCTCAAAGGTAAACCATGGATAAAGTCGCTTGTCATAGAGGTAGTACACATCCAAAACACCCTATGTACGTTAGCAGCTCACCTGTTTACATTACTTCCGTTGCCCAAAGGAAACCCATAAACGATCTATACTGCCGTTTGTGGTTAATTGTTTGCCGAATCTTTATCATGACTATTCCTCTTCTCTAAAGAACCTGATACCTCACCCTTAATTTTATGTCCCCACCATGTTGAATATTTTGTTATTTCGTAGTCTATACTGTTATACAGTAACGCCGTTACTTATGAGCATTCATCTTCAATATTTTATCTTTATTGGGTTGTTGCTCGTTTTGTGAGAGGGACACCGAAATCAGACCGCGTAAAGGCGAAAAATTTCTAGAATCCTAGAATCATGCCATTTCGGTCTGATTCCTAGCGCTCTGTGAGTGACCGTTTATTTGTTGTTGAAATTACACG